GTGTGTCTACGTGCCATTGGTCGCTTGCAAATTGTGGGGTGACGTGACGTGGGGGGGAAACGCGCTCCTGAAAGCCTATCCCTTACGCCAGCAAATTCTTATCGACTCTACTGATACTGTAGCTCGGAATGTTTCCATGAGGAACATCTGAAAATGTCTCTATTATTTTCATTGTATACAATATTTTATTCAATCAAAAAAGCTACTTGGTAAATGCAATTTCGTTATTTTTGGTATAAAATAAGTACCTGTGTTTGCTACTGTATATAAAAGGCTGCATAAACGAAACCTTTTGGTGATTTCATTTATATATGGTGTCATTCAAAACCAGGATTAAATCTAACATTTTCTCTAGTCCTCGCTGTATTAACATGCTATCTCCTGTGCTGATCATACAAAAGACAGCTGGTAACATTTATTTAAAAAGAAGCAGATTTATATAAATGCAGTCATGGCTGAATTTGCATACAATTGGTGTGCCATCAAATCCTAACACAATCACACAATTTAATTTCATCACATTCTTAGTTAATGTTAACAAACTCGCCCTAGAAACCAGAGCTAAGGGTAATAAGGATAAAAGAGAGATTGCTTTGTGCAGGCAACCATTGTGCTTACAAGAGTTTCATGACCCTGAGACCACTGAAGGCTAGCATTATCTGGCCATCTAAAATTATCTCTGGTTGACGCCCAAGGTTCAAAGGATGAGCACCAACAATGCCTTCATCTGCCAGTTGCATCCTTTTGCTAGTCTAAAACTCACAAGGAGAATTTTGTAAATCAACTAATAGTTTATTGTTATCTGTAGTTGTTACGGGGCAGACAATCATCCAAACTGATAGATGCACTGTAACCTGTTGATTTGCCCTTTCTATACATCAAATCCAACATGTTAGGCATATTTAGTGAGCTTTAAATGTGTTTGTCATCTTAGTATTGTGCTTAAACTGTGTATGTTAAAGCAAAGTTACAAAAACCAAAATGCTGAGCTAAAAGAGCTGCAGAGTTTTGTTAATTCTCTCTGTCTCCAGAGATCAATCTGTATAATTGCCTAATATAATGTGAACTGTAATGGAAAATGTATTATGTATTAATGATTAAACATGTTCTTTGTATAGCATTGTTGTCCAGTACAAACCATGCTCATGAGGATATGTATTAATATGTAGAATCTTAAACTTGCTAAAGGACTGAGATGCTATACTTACACATAGGAAGGTGAACTGAAACTCTCTCTTCCAGGAGTGTGCTGTAGTGATGCTGGAAACTGGGTGAGGGGTGATAAGAATCCTATAAAAGATAAAGCATTGTACTTACTGCTATAGTGCACTCAGAAACAGTGCACAGAAATGGTCCATCCCTAGTCTACAAGAGGACAAAGGACCATCCTCAAGATGGCAAGGGGCTGCCTTGGGCTCTAACACAGTTTGTTAGAAGGAACTAATATGAGGGCTTATCAGGATAGCTTTTTCAAGACTGTAGCTGAAACAACTTGATTCACGGTGACAACCATATCTAAAGAGGTGTGCACTCTGTGGACGTGGAACTTTGCCATGGGGAAAAGATCGAGCTCAACAAAACCGGGGACAAACTTGATCTGTCATCTGATAACATTAATTTCATGAAAACTAACTACTGTATGATGACAATAACATAATACTTGTTGGACTTCAGATTAAGGAGTTCGGGTTTCAAAATGGGAGCACATTCAGCACAACTTACTATCCTGCAAACTAAAATATATGAAAATAATCCACTTCCCAGTGTCTTGCCACCATTCTTAGAAAAAAAAGATGCAAGAACCAAATCCTAAAGGTTTAGTGCAATTTGTTTTGTGAGCAGAATTGGGCTTGACAGAGATGAGCAGTTTCATATTAAAATAATTAAAATAAAATATGAATAAAGGAGAGGAACTATCAGAGGAATAATACAGGGCACCTCCAAGGAAAAAAAAACAGATAAAAACAATGACGTCTTTAAAGTTGATTAGAAAGCATACAGCAGGTGATAAGAAGACAGAGAGAAAAGTAGATCAATGGCATAAGAGAAGCAGACAGAGAAGGGGGGGAAAGGTCAGGATAAGCACTGATATGACATGCAGGCAACAACATACACACACCACCTCTACAAAGTCCACACAAAAGACACAAATCTACATAGCTCAAGGTGATGGAGACAGCTTTGATGCACATACAACACACAGATTGCAACCAAATGTTAAAGAAGAAAAGCTGAAAACCATAAATGATACACACCCATGCTCACAGCAATGAAGAATGATTTGCTACTGATACATTTAATTTTTCCTTTTTTGACGATAGCACTGGTTGAGAAAATGTATATACATTTAAATATTAGGGAGAGAAAAAAAAAAGACCCAGGAGACCCTACCAACAGCACGACAGGATCCCCAAGAACCTCTAGGGCTGTTAGATCTCCTAACCCCTCACTACACTGAGGCTCCATCACTTAGATGAGCTGTTGATGGACTGTTACACTCCTGCTTTCTGTTTCATTCACAGACACTGCTTCACTCACTAATGCCATGCAGCTGGTAGTACCACAGGAAAGGGCTTCATGCCAAGAGAAGAAGTCGTCATAGTTGACATGGTGTTAATGTTTTCCAACAGGTCACCAGGATGCAGTGACAGTGGCAAAAGTGCTGCTGAGAGAGATCACTCCTAGCTGGGGAATCCCTATACATTTCAGCTCAGACATCAGACCAGCTTTTATCAGCACTGTGTTAAAGCAGCTGACTGATTATATGGGGATCATCATTAAAGAGCACCATAGTTGCCACCCCAGAGTACAGGAGCTGTTGAAATAGAAAATCAGACTAGAAAACAAGCTGGGAAAATGTTGTGAAGCAGCAGACTTAAGATGGTTGTCAGCTCTACCACTGGTGTTGTCCTACATGAGAACCAGACAAAGAGATAAATATGGGTTAAGTCCATTTGAAATGAACTCCCCACCTCCCACCCAAAGGGATAGAATGTCCCAGGCAGGGCAAATCATTGATTGAGCATGATGTAGTATTGTGTTAGCCTCTCCGCTTCCATGTCAGCCTTTTATTCGCAGGTGAAAGCGGCGCTGTCCCAGCCAGCAGAGCAGAGCCTACATGACATCAAACCAGGAGACTAGGTGGTGATTAAGGACTTCAGATGGAAACATTGAGGACAGAGCAGATTTGTTGGACCCTCTCAGGTGCTGGTGACCATGGAGACAGCCAAAAAGGTGCAAAGGAGAATGCCCTGGATCCACGTTAGTCACTGTAAGAAGGTGCCAAAACCACTGGATGACATTGCACCCACAGTGTGGGATGCACATCAACTGACTGTTTGCTAGAAACATCAACTCCTGACACTGAAGAGTGGCAGGAGTGAAGGCGGATCGCTACTCCTTGCTGCTACTTCTTCAAGCCAGACAACATACAGAGAGGGTGAAATAGCGCCTCCTTTCATCAGGGCAAGCCCTTGCCCCACCAGTGATGTGCAGGGTGCTCCAGCAGTCACCTACAAGAGAGAGATAGCAACGTGCAGGGTACCGGCCACAGTTGCCCACAGGGGATCAGCAATGGAACGCATGGACCATCACTCAGGCTTTTCAGAGGAGCAGGGTGTAGTTGAGGACAGGTGTTATGCTTTTCACAGTATGACTCATTATGATTCCCATAATCTGGTTGACTGAGAGCCAAGTAAACAAAAATGATGCAGTCACATCTCACATTACAGACTGAACACCAAAGTGCAACCCAGAGTCAACAATAATGATTTTCAGATCACGCATCCACATTCATCAACAAATCATAATAACCGTAGAGCGCTGTGAACATTCACTTGACCTGTATTGATCTCCATTCACCTTGGTCATTTATGTTTTCAGTAGTGCATGTGATTGGTGAATGATCAAAAGGAGGTGTGGAGTATTCATTCAGAGAGACATTGTTAACAAGAGTCAATAATCTTTGAGAAATGGCTATGGCTGTATGCCATGCGCTGCCCTAATTTGGAACTTGTTAGGACTCGTACGGAACAATTAGAGTAAGGACTGGAGCACTATCCTTATAGTGGCTCTGTGGCTATTAAGCCCCAATGATGTGGCATGCAAATGTAGATTCTGTGTCACCTCCAAGGGATCTACAGTGGAGTGCAGATTAGCAGGTGGACTTTTCCAATATATCTATATATTTATTGAATTACAGAAAGCATTTTTTCTATTATTCCTAGTATGCTACAGAAGAGAAAAAGCTGATGAAGGGGAAAAAGGGGAAATGTTATTTGTAAACATTAATGGTAACCATACAAGTGGTTGATGTTTGTGATTGCTTTGGTCTCAAGAGATATACAGTATATTCATTTTATCATGGATCTACTATTTTGTGGTGATGAATTGCAAAAGATAAATATCCAGGTTAAAGCTGGTTTTGACATCATTTTAATTATGGATGTGTAGTGGAAAAACATTCAAAACTCATTTAAAAACATTTATTTTGCATGTCATCTCACAATATCACAACAACATGTCTTTTTCATGAAGATAATATGGTTGGAGAAATATTCCACAGTGGGAAATGCATCTGTATGATAGTTAATTCCTGAGTTGGAGATTGTGTGTCTTTGAAAAGCAGATGGCTTCTGTCTTGGTAAGAGAGTAATACCCTGGGTGAGAGGAAATGTGAGTACATAGCACATGTCTGTATCTAATAGAGGTATGGTTTCACACACATATGTTTGTTTGCAGAGGTTTGAGTAACATTTATGTTAACTATAAAAACAGTATGTAGTATGCATACATGTGTAGAATTATGTTATATTGTACATTAATGTGTATTCTTTCACTATATATTGTGCTTATTCATTGCTTGACAAGTGTCTCCTTGATGAGGTGGTTTATACTAGTACCAGACAGGGGCAAATACAGTAGGTCATTGTGAACTCTTGGAGGTTTTCTGTCTTGGTTCCAAGAACATCTAGTTACAAAAGCATGTTTTGGCTGATTGAGTATAAAGTTGAGACATTTTTGATAAGCACCTAGGCCATGATACTTGGTAACATACACGCATTATGATTGTGTAAAGATGAACAGAAACCAGACACACGCAACACATACACACACAGGGGTGAGGAAAGAGTAGATAGGGTTGTTTGCATAATCATAAAGACAGATGTGGGTACATGTATGATAATGACACTGGGATAGGCTTTTCCCAGCAAGTCACATCATTGACCTCTGCTTAATATGGGGATAGCATGATGCAGTATTGTGTCAACCTGTCTGCTTCTATGTTAATCTTGCATTTGCTGGTGAAAGCAGCACTGCCCCAACCAGCAGAGCAGAGCCTACATGACACCCACCCAGGAGACTATATTGTTGTCAGATACCTGAGAAGGAGTCGCAGGATGGGTCCATTCCAGGTTCTCCTCACAACCCACACGGCTGTAAAGGTCACAGAGAGGGCCACTTGGATCCATGACAGCCACAATAAAAAGGTACCGAAGCACTACTACGACTTCACACCTGTGGTGCACCCACTCATTGGCGCCGCCTACTGATTGCTCACACACTTTGCACACACAGCCTGATTAAGATGGAGCACCGTTGACCAGCACGACTGTGATGTGAGCTTACAAACATCGCACCGGTGAATGCACTTTGCACACACAGTGACCTCAAGTCACCTACTGTATGTGGGACATAGATGGAATGCCAAGCACCATGGCATCCCTACATTGCTGGGACTGTGTAGTCCCTGGCAGAGATTAATTGTCCTTCTAACCAGGAGCAGCTGATAGAGTTCTACAGAGGAATCATCGAGTCTGTTCTCTGCACCTCCATCACTGTCTGGTTTGGCTCAGCAACCAAACAGGACAAGTACAGACTTCAGCGGACAGTCAGGACTGCAGAAAAGGTCATTGGTGTGAGCCTGCCCTCCATGGAGGACCTGTACACCTCATCACTGTGCACCAAGACAACCAGGCACAGGGACAGTTTCTTCCCCCAGGCCGTCACTCTGATGAACACTTAACCCACAACAGTATGACTGGACAATAACCCTCAGTGCAATACCTGTAAATATACCTCGTACAGATTATGCAGATTCGTACAGGTCTCTAGTTTTAAGTACTCTGTTTTTATTCCTATTCATCTCATTTCAATGAGGATTCCTTTGTCTGTCTGCATTGTTTACTGTCTGTTTATACTGCTTTTTCTGCATTGTTTGGACTGTTTGTTGCTTGTTAATACTGCTGATTTTGTTATCTTACACAGCCTTATGCTGGTTTACTGTTTACTTGCCCCTTGCATGGAGATATATACATACACATTGAGAGCCGATGTACCAGAGTCAAATTCCTTGTGTGTCTGACACACCTGGCCAATAAAGCAGATTCTGATTCTGATTCTGAAATATATGGTGGAGCTATGCTAACTACACAGCACATGGTAAAACTAAAACCAGCTGTTATGTCTGTACTCACAAGCCGTCACACCGTCAGCAACTTTGCCCTGAAAAACTTTGTGCCATAAACTCATGCAGCAGCTATATAGCACATTTTGTTTCAAGCAGAAAGTGATGGGTTTTACAGTAGCAAAAATTTAATTGTTTGGCTGAGGGCAAACCTAGAAAAGAGTGCCACCTGCAGGAATTTAAGCCTGCTTCATTCAGAGAAACAGCTCAGAGAGATGGTTCTTTTTTACACAACAACATTTATTTAACATCTGGAGTTACAAGGTACTGATCAGATTTAGAGTTTACAAAAAGAATGAGAAGCCTACGAATACAACATATTGTAGACAAAACCTGTGGTTCCCAACCTTTTTTGGCTTGTGATCCCTGACAGAAAATGGAGTGTGGCCGCTTTCAGATGAGTTCTTAACACTTACACCTAATTTCCCCTCCAAACTTTATAGGTGGTAATAATCAATATTTGATTAAGGCAAACATATCTGTGTAGCTGAATTCAGTTTTTCTTTTCATCAACCCCATGACTCATTAGTAGAGGCCTGACCATCCTGACCCTTAACCTGACCTCAATTCCCAAACTGTAGATAAAGGACTTAATGCTAAGGTCAGTTTTACTATGGTCAGTAATAATTATCAATAAAACTAAAAGTGCTCTTTTTTGCCATGTTCACTGTGCAATCAGCTGCTCTCCCAGTCTCTCCAGATGTTTCTAAACATTAAAATATTTGACATTTTCTATGAACAATTCTGCATTGTTTGCACTGTTTGTTGCTGTCAATGCTGCTGTTAATACTGCTTATTTTGTTATATTACACAGCCTTATGCTGGTTTACTGTTTGCACATTGAGAGTCGATGTACCAGAGTTAAATTCCTCGTGTGTCTGTCACACCTGGCCAATAAAGCTGATTCTGATTCTGAACTTAGTTTTGAGAAATTGCCACATTTGCTGAGTATAATTCTTATTTGCCTCATTCCCCACTTTGTAGGGGCTGCACATTTTTCTACAGGATCTGGAGCTTTTGAACAAGATGACAGGATGGAGATGTATATTATTTCAGTTGTTTTAGCAAGTATCCTCATCATACTTTTTGCACTCAAAAATTTTCCCTTCTCTTTGGATGGACATTGTGTAGTGAGGGATCTACTATAAATTTTCATGGGGTTTGTATCGAGGTGAAGAAAGAGACCTTCCTTCTTTGTTTTGGACCATTTCTTGGCATGCTGCATGTGTTAAGTTAAAAAGAGAATTGTTGTAGGAAGTTTGTGTTAGAGAATGGATCAATGCTGTCTTTTATTAAAAACTCTGCCTGCGATTATGCCATTTCTGAAGAGAAAAAGGACATAGTAGGTTTTAAACTGTTGTTCAGTTAAAAGTGGGGGCCTTCTAAATTACACACTGTATTCTGAGTGTTATAATCCACCAGAGAAATACAGGAGATAAAAACGAGTTTGCAGTTTACCCAGCGAGAGGTGGATGTGATTAAAGCTGCCATGGGTGAACAGAAAATACAAACCAAGGAGACAAGGGATGACGTCTACAAAACTTGTGAGAGTTTAATAGCTATAATGGATAAAATGGAGTATTTGGAAGCACAGTCCAAGCGAAAAATCTTGATCTTTGAGGGAATCAAGGAGACAGCTGGAGAAAGCTGGATGGAAGCAGAATGTAAAGTGAAGGAGATTCTAAAGAATAAACTGCAAATTCATCAAGAAATTGAGATGGAGCGGGCTCACAGAGTCGGGAAACCTTCTGATCGTGGTCCGAGGGCGGTGATGGTAAAGTTGATGAAAGAGAAAGATAAGGCACACATATTGCAACAAGCAAAGAAGCTTAAAGGATCTAATATTTATATAAATGAAGATTACACTGAGTCTGTGAGGAAAAGAAGAAGGGAGTTGATGCCAAAGTTAAGGGAGGCCAGGGCGAGGGGAGACATCACGTTCCTGCGGTATGATCGACTAATGACCAGTCCTCGGAACCAGGATCCAGGACCCATGACCAGCACGCCGAGGATGCCGAGACAAGGAGAGTATGAAGGGGTTGCTGGACCCTCAGATGTATGAAGAAGAAACACGCAGGTATATTGATATCTGCAATGGCAGATGAGCGTTGGAACCAACAACAACAAGCATGACCCATGTACGGAATGAGGCAAGTGATTTGTTACA